ATTATAACTCAGCCCACTAAATCCAGGACTGCTATAGGCATGACCTAATCGTTTTGTTACAGGAATAATGGCATTTCGCACAATTTTTTTGCTTGATTTCTTGCCTTACTCCAAATATCTCGAAACACGCGCGAGAGTGAGTGGAAGGGTCTTATCAATTTCTGTGCCTATTCGTTGACACTGCCACTGAAATCTTTGGTTTAACCTTGCTCGCCATCGTTCTCTAAATTATTGGACGTTATCGCATCGTCTTGCCATTTCACAGCATTGTAAAAGACGTCGACGGGCTACCAACTTTCGTTGTTCTTCGTGGTTAAGGCATGCAAGTCAGTGGACAAATCACTATTACAGTGCAAACAGCTGATTGCCTCGCCTTCATCTTTGAAAGTAAATAATCAGAGAAAACGGCAAAAAACGTGCTTGTTACGGTTTGACACGGGTCGGAGCTGATGTCATCAGAGCGTCAATGACAGCATATACTCGTATAGCACTTCGGGTCTGCTAATCTGATAGAGGATGAACACAAGTAAGTGTCTCCCGGGAAAGCCAAGATTTGAAATGAGAGCAAAAATTCATTCCTTGAGCTCTGCGCGGCTGTCTTGTGCGTCCAATTCACTATACATTTATGCGAATGTCTGCGAAGAAGAGTCGCAAACCTAAAAAAGTTCTTTTCCTTGTTCTCCTCTTTAAGTAAAGGTTGAAAAAGAACAGCACTGTAGATAACTAGAAAGAAGGGCAGTCGTGTAATGCTTCGAACATTGGAAACTGCCGGGCACCATAGGTTGACAGCCAATTCTACAGAGTATGCATAATGAGATATTTATTAATATTGCAACCTAGAAACAATTTTTTTCCAGTTGCATTCTCAGGTAAATTACAGTATTTTTTCGGATTTTTTTGTAGAAAGAGACGTGATTTGCGAATTACGTGGCTTAGGCGGAATTAGAAATAGCATGCAGGTCTTTGCAGAACGCAAAGCTGTTTTACAATTGAATCTCCAAACAATGTCCTATTTGTCCTCTCCGAAAATAAAAGTGGGACTTTACAACCCCTTCACTAGAGTTTTCTCTAATCTTTCCTGGTCATCTCGTCTCGAGAAGCGACCTTCACCGCCCGCATGCACAGTCGCTCCCACTCGAACGGCATTATTGATGGCTGCGTCATTTTGGACAAATAAGCTGGGGGTCTGCTGGCAAGTAACTGGATGATCCATGAATTGTATCTCCTGGAAACTTCTATCTTTTCTCCTCCTACCAAGCAAAGAGGCCTTAATTGATTCAAGAAAATGGAATAACCAGTACGTTGGAAGCCGAGGGAACTACTGAGCACAGAAGAGATTGGAATATGCGCGACAGTACGCAGTGAGCAACACATGGAAACAAAGACAAATCCGGAGTCATGATTTATTTCAATGGGACCACAGTGATGCCATATGGATTGCAAATTCTCCTATACTGCAATTGCGTAGTTAGGAAAAGCTAGAAGGCAGCTGGTACTCCTTATCACCTAAACTTTCAAGCGAAGTGCCCAGTGTAAAATCATCAAATTTGCAGGTCAATTAGAGGTCTACACTATTGTCTGGAACTATGAAAACCACTCGGAATTTCCTTTCCCGGAATACAATAGCTCCCTCGCGTCGTCGATGATTTCCAGCACGCAGGGTGATGTTTTCGCTGAATGCTGGCGCTGCGCCATAAATAGACTGCAGACTGCAGCGCCACTCTCTTCTTTTCCGCACCATTCTATCTCTAAGTGTGCAAGCCCATCCTTTTCCACCCACCCTTCCCATTAGAGTTCGGCTGTTGCACGGATTCGATTATAAATGTCTCTCGTGACGTGTACAGCAGCGTTTGCAGAAATTTGCCTGTCAATACTGCCGCTGTCTTTTTCCGTCACTTCCTGACCAGCCAGCCGTCGAAGCCCGTGCAGGGGTGAAAATGGCAGTGGTGGTTTTCTCACCCTGCATCACGCAGATGGGGCTTGCCTTGGCCCGACCCGACTCAGCTGCCCCTCCCATTTCGCTGACGTTGTGGCGCCTCATTTGAAGTGCCGCCCTGGCGACAGTTCACACATCGGTTCGACTGTCGACTTAGTTTTTCAGTTTCTCTAACTCCTGCAGCTTGTCAGCAGACACGTCTGATCCTCCTTGTCTTATCTATGCGCGGAATTTTTGCGGAAATGATCCGCTTATTTAGAGCTTGCAGAAGCCTTAAACAATTTATCCAATGCAGCATCGTTCTTTCTTCTCCTTCGAACTCAGTCCCTCTGCTAGCATGTTCCCAGGCCTTATCAGCTCACGTGCACTTAAAAGCCTTTGCATTACTATCCTATCTGCCGTTTCGGAGGTTTTATGATTTTTCTAGTTGTATGCAAGTACTATTTGCTTGCTCAAATGGCGAATGGTTATGCACTTGCACTCTTCCCGTAATTATGTATTGACCGGTGTTCCACACAATTCAAGCTAAGCCTTCGAACGCTCGTTGCTTCGCGTGCCAATATCCTGAATCATTGACCCTTCTGAATTTGCTCACTTTTTTCTTGAGAGAACAACTGTCGATGCTGCAATTTTTTCCTGCGGCAAGAGGCGTAATAGAGTCTAAATGCTATAAACACTTGCTTCTTCTCTCTCGATAAGTATTTGAAGGTCCTCGAGCCTGCAGTACTAGCTCTTTCGCAGGCAATACGACAAACAAATTCATAGAGCGAGTTGTTTTTCATGATCTTCCGAAATTTTCATCTTACACCCACCTATGGGTAAAATTTCTGTTTAGTAAGAGACAAAACAGTCTCTGAATATTTTCCACGTGACAGAAGTCATAATATACTTTGCAGGATTGCTCCAGAAACTGGTATTCTTCACCATTAACTCGGCTTTTATTGCCATAATGCGACTACTTTTCTGAATCATTCATGATGAATATATTCTCTCGAATTGCACGTTTTGTATCTGCTATGCATAGTTTGTCTGCCACTTTTGTCGAAGACAAAAAAATCGTGTCTCAGAATCTCGAAACTAGCCTTCTTTCGAGTTAGTTCGGCGAAATTCCAGCGTTTTTTGCACTGCAAATCTCGAAATCCGTACTATTAACGTGTCTTGCTCGATGCGTCAGACTTTACGATTATCGACGCGGTTACGTGCGGTTTGAGACCTCAAGTGCTTTACATCATCACAAAAAGGACCATTTTTCAATATTTCTTCTTAGTTTCTATCTGACGCACTCGGAAATTGCAGAATAACACATGTTCATACGAAACTACAGCGAAAAATTCTTCTTTGTTGACGTCGACTCCAACTATACACATCCAAAACTCATCTTGCATTATTGCGAATGTTTTTGCCAATTCTCCTAAAATCTCACTTGGACCGGAATTGTTGCATAAACCAATAGGGGTGGCGAACAATTCGTAATCACTCGATGTTAATGCATGCGGCCCTTAGAGATTTCGAATTTTATTCTGGAATCTACTTGATGGTTCCACTTGCTCTGTGTACAATCAGTTATGGAATTATGGTAGACAGATAAAATTCAATGGTCGTCAGTTGGAGTTGTACGCTTGTGCCTGAGGTATTTTCGGGACTCCACTAATAATAACTGCATTAGAGGAAAACTACATTATAGAAAAGCCATAGATATTCGAAGTATAATTGAGCCACACGATCGTCCCACGTGGAACTATGATTCGTCGTTTTGAGTCTCTGCAGTATTCGCATTATCAATGTTAGCACATCGTTTAGCCATTTGCTTCCAAATAGAAATGAGGCTCACAATTTTCGTTCTTGGATCGGAAAAAAAGCCAAACAAATCACTTAGCCGGATTCACGCCTTTTAGAATTACCACTGATCCATGGGTATACTATTGGACTGTATGTATTATGTACATGGGAACGTAGTGCAGAGTATCGTTGAAGTAAATGCGTGTGTCCTGACGGAAACAAAAATCAGATTATGTACTTAACGTAACCGCCGTGGTGCATTTTTATCGAACGATATTGGCTTCAAACCAAAAACGGTTCAGCTTTGCATTCGTTTCGTCAGGCGCGATCCGCTGTTGTGCCGGCGCTCTTTTGCGTAAGGCGAATACATGGAAACATTGTCGAGCTGCACAGCAGCACAACCGCTGACGCCGCCATCGCTTTTGGAGCCTGCTCCTCACGATCAACGCTTCTCACTCATGAAGTTCCTAAAAACGCTGTCCTCGATGATGTTTACTTTTCAGGATACGCGATGGCCAGCGACGTGATAAATCCGCTGTCCAAAAGTGAGTCTACCGTTGTGCGCTTGTGTGTGGATTCATTGTGGTTGTGTTTGAATCAATACAACGAGACATACAAATAGCAGCGAATCGCAGCAAATTCAGAACTGAACCTCATTCACTCCAAATGCCTTGCAAGCGTTTCGCGACACATTGATCGATCATATGCTGAACGCTGCAGCCTGCTTCGCGTTTTCTTCGCTGCAACAGTTGCTCGGAGCCGGATGCTAAAAAACGAACGCAAGATAGACTAAGCACCTTTGCTTCTCAGTTTTTTTTCGATTACAAGCAGATTTGTCGATTCAGTAGCGAATACACCGGTGTCGTAGCCATTCTGATCCGCATGACGCAGCCTTTGAGGCCAAATTTTTCGCTAAGCGCGCTTTTACTTTTGCGAGCTTCTTGTATTCAGTCTACAGGTTTGAGCTATCTTGCGTTTCCCTTTACTGCTTAGTGACTGAGAGACCAAGTAATTTTCCGCTCCAGGGTACCCATTCACATATGAGTCACCACAAGAGTTTTCCAAATGAAAGTTCAATTTCTTTCAATGTGCGATAAAGCCGTGAAACCTCCGTGCAAGATTCCCTTTGTAAATGTCTCAAAATGTCTGTCCGCGCATAGCCTGGGTTCTCACTGCTCAAGTTGCCGGTGCAGATTAAGTGTCTGCTGTAGAATGCGAGCAAGGTTTAAATCATGGAAAATCAGCATTTGACCGTTTAACATCCGCGTCCGAGTTATGCTAGAGGATGTCAGATAATCTGCTATGTCTAATTTTGGAAATTAATGAAGTTTTTGGTGATATGAAGTGGGTGTGCACTGCTAACAGAATTTTTGCATCTGCCGGTGCTGATCAGTATATCAGTCAAAATCTCATTTTAGCCTGGGTGCGTCTACAAATTGAACCTGTCGAGGTGGCTACCGACGATGGCGGTATCGTATTCGCATCAGTACAATCTGTTGTGCCTGGAGCACATGGTTTGTACTATCGTCAGGACGGTCAACGTAGACCACTTGAGTGAATATAATTAGTTTACCTGGGCTATGATTGTATTTTATGACGAGGCTTTCAGATACGATACAAACACGGGTAGGATCTTAGCGCCAGCCAGTGGATGGAACGCCCAAGATATCTACATTCACCTTGGTAAGGTACCATGCAGATGAAATCTCGTTTGCTTTATTAGGGGTATGCATACTAGGCAGCTAAATTCACATCGTTGCTTTATTTCGAGTCTCTGATATTTGGAATTGATTTCGAGCCCAAGAAACCTTTCATCAATCCTTGACGAAGCTGCAAACAACCATGCTGAGGTGGCTATCGGTCGCTTTTGACGAATCCTGAGTTGATTTCGTCGTAATTTAGTCTGAAGCTCGAACACCCCAACTTGCCTTCGACCAGTGCACCAGCTTTACTTACTGAATTCTGCCCGAGCTGTTCAATAGCGCTGTTTGTTCTCGAGGCGCTGCCCAATTTGTCCTTGGTTGGAAATGCGCCGTGCGTGTGCGCCCGCTTTTTCTGCGCCGCACAGCCCTTAGTCGACAGCGAGAAAAGCTTTTTTCTACCATCGCCTCGTTTCTGCATCGACGCGGCCTTGGCACTGGAAGAGGTGAATAACGCGGAGAATGAGGGGTTTGTCCTGGGGTGTCTTTCCTATTTTCTTTCCGGGGTACTCTGGAAATGTATAGGACCGTTCCAGGCAAAAACTGTATATGCTCCACCATTTTACGTAAATCGGTTGAGTGTACTTACTCACAGCTAATATCTCACCATCGAAAACGTTTGTGTCAGACAGCACAGCGTTATCGAGGTACACTTCCTCAACTTGCTAAGTGTTGCGAGGCAGTTGATAGAATAATCGGTGAGGAACGTTTGCCGATTATTGCCCGAGGAGGGTTTTGATTTGAAAAAGAATTCCTCGTTAGCACGTCTGGAATTCAATGTTTCACAGACAAAAAGGTTTGCTCTTGATGAACTGTTCGTAAAACTGAGGGATATCCGAGGAAACTACTTTTTTGCTACATCAGCTGTATTTTCGCATAGGCCCGCACCACTTTTATGTTCAATTGCAAATTTCCCTCTGCGAGGCTCCATGGATTTTCGGGCAATAATGGTGTGAAAAAAGTGTCATCACATAAATGGAATGTTGCTGGTTCTAAAAATCTCTTCTCTCTGTGGATGCCAAATGAGAAATAGAATGCGATTTATATAAAATGCAGCCATCGCCTGCCCCAATCTAGTTTGGCTCGTGATGTCGTAAATTCCTCTAAGGTGTTGACTGAGGCTGGCTTTTTTAACATGTCTTCTTACGTCCATCGTTACCGATATGAAGAAAGCACATAGAGCGATAAACCCACATTCTTACTTTTTATCGGTCATTGATGAATATCAAGAATTCTTTCCATTGCTACCCACGAAAAGACCACAAATTGCAGTGTAAGGCTGTCCCGAAGACGGCCTGATGTACCGATGTTGATATCCAAGAGAAGCGTTTGTTAGCATTTTGCGTTAAATCATTCCTACGCAATTCTCAAGCAAACCCGTTGGGGCAAGTATCGTTTAATGTTTGTTGAGTGGAAATATGTGTAACAATGCTGCCGATATGACTGACTGTCATCACGTCTGTTCTGCGGGCAACTACATTGCCTTTGCTGATGAAAGTAAAAGGAAAATTACGAGTCGATCAGCTTATAACCTCCACAAGAGAGGAGGTATTACTGTGCTAACTAGAATGGCAAGGACTTTCGACTTTCGGGGAGAATTTTGAAGACTTGCTCAAACGAGTCGAGTTCTTTCTCAGTGTGACCCTCTATTCAAGATCGCGTTGTCCTATCTGTATCTTATTTCCAAACTATCTCAAGTTCCGCTTTACAGCTCACGGTAGTAAACACGGGTCTCACTATGCGGACTACAGCAAAGCCTCACAGCAGTTCGAGAAGAACGTCTCTGCAGTGCAAAAACTGATTGGTAAGGAGCGTTATCCTTCAGGCGTGATGAACACTCGTTGCACTCTGCTTTGTGTTTGGAAAAAAGATTGGTTTTCCCCTGTTATTCTTTGCAAAAAAATATTACTACAGCGGCTGCTGGTCTAACATATGGCTTCAAAGTACCACGTGCAGAAAAGACGACCCGCACTAGTTCACGAAGCAGAGGTGTAAAAAGCGGCTTTGAAGCTCAACCAGAGAACGTGCATATAAGCGATGAGGTAAGAGTTTTTGCTTAAATTCTTCACCCTTTTTCTCGCGAAATCATGAGTGAGAGGTGATCACATGAAGTGAAAAGAAATTCTCAAT